ACACCGCCCGCTGCTGATGGATGCAAATGCTGTCCTGTCTGACCCGACATGGATGTGCGTCGTCCACCTGCTTCTCCACCATACACATATCCGCCACCCTCTCCATACGGCTGCGGCTGTTGCTGCTGATGCTCGTGCTGCTCCTGCTGCGCATGTGCAGGCGTGGCTTCGAACTGCGCCATGGAAATAGGCGCATGGAACGAAGCCACAGGATCAAACTGGTCCATCTGCCAGCTCCCCATGAGCGCATCGATATCAAACGTCAACCCGGCCGAGATACCCAGTCCGAACGGCGAATCGCCACTGTGCGTCGAAGCAAACTCGTCCGAGCCTGTAGTATTGGCGGCCAGGATGCCGTTGACGCCGTCAATCGAGTCGAGCGCCATAGCGTCCGCCTTGGGCGTCGCATGCAGCGAGCGCGCCAGCCGCTTCTTGGAGCGAATGCGCGACTTGGCCCACTTGAGCACCATCTCAATGTCGCGGATGGGCGCGCTCTGCGCATCCTCGTCCGACGCCTGCGGATCCACCTCGCTGCCGTTGCCCGCCGCCTCCTGCTCAAGCGCACGCAGCGGCCACGACGCACCCGCCCAGTACTGCTGCAGCTTCTGCAGGATCCTCTGGCACGCACCCAGGTTGATCTCGGCATACGACTTGGTCGAAACGAGCGCACTCGTGCGGCTCTGCTGCTGCTGCTGCTGCGCAGGCCCACCGCGCGAGGGAGGTCGACTCGGTGCAGGCGTCGTGCCGTGGCCCATGTTGCGCAGCGCCTCCCTTGCCGCCTCGCGCTCAGCCACAAACGAACGGCCCGCCGGTAGCACGAGCTGATCGAGGTACGGCGAAGCAGTGATGCACCGGTCGTCGAACGCGTCGCCAAGCGTGAGGATATCCGCGATCGTTCTGCTAGCTGCCGCACTGGCCGCGGGCGCAAACGACGGCAGCAGCGGCACCGAATCGCCCGTGAACTTCTTCATGAGCGCCGGTCGATCGAGCAGTCCGATGGTCGACTGGAAGAGCACGTGCAAATACACGAAGCCGGGGCTCTGGTTGTGCGTGGCGCTCTTCTGGAACGTCTGCACGTTGAAGTGCAAGTTGGCCGGAAGATCCGAGTAGCTCTGCGCGAGCTCGAACCACATGCGCGTGAGGTCGCGCTTGGTGGTCTCTGCCGAGATGGACGAGTCGTCGCGCTCGCGTCGGTTGAGCAGCTCGCCCATGCGTCCTCGGAGCATGAGGATGCGCACCACGTGACCAAACACGACCGTCTCGTCCTTCATGTCGCTGCTCTCGGTCAGCTTGGGCAGTTCGATGTCGATCTCGTTTTCTCGGATCGAAACGGGCCGGCCCGTACCGAAGGTGGTGATGCGGTCGAGCGCAATGACAGCCCAGAAGAGCAGGCGAGCCTTTTCCTGGTGCTTTTCGTTGGGGATGCTCTGGATGCTCACCTCGTGCTGCAGGCCGAGGTCCTGCGCCATGCGGAGCGCCATGCCGACGTACATCCACAGGCCAGAGTCGCTGCCGGCGGCAAATTCGGCGTAGCTGAGCAGGATGAGCGCCTCGATGACCTCGATCGAGGGGAAAGAGAGGAGCGGAATGATGAGGATCTTGGCCATCTCGCTAAATGGATCGCCCGACGATTTGCGCGGCACCTTGCGCAGTTCCGGACGATTGGAGAAGCGCGCAGCCACAGCGCATACGGCGTTGGCGAGGATGGCGGGCATGGATCCGTTGTCGACGCCGTTTTTGAGTTCGTCGTCCTCCATCCACGGACACCAGGACGACTTGAAGTGAGTGAGGAAGAGCGAGACGAGGTGTTCGAGGATGTCTTTGCGCGGGTATCTTGGGCGGTTGATCTCAAAGAGCTCGCGGGTGACCGAGGACGAGGCCTTGTTCTCGAAGCGGTGCGCGCCAGGGCTCGCAGTGCGCGCTGGATGCGGGGAGAGCACGCTGTCGTCCAAGGGTTTGGCGGGCGTAGCGGCGGTGTTGTCGTCGTCGTCGCGAATGGTGAAGCCAAAGTTGGGCGGATTGTCCGAGGCTTGGTTGGCCTCGAGCGCCGGAGCGAGCTCGTCGGTGCCGGGCACCTCCGAGTCCTGGAGGACGCCGACCTTGATCTTTCGGTAGCCGGGCGTATTGGCAGTGGTGCCAAACCATCGGAAGAAGGGCAGAACGATCTTTGGCCGCGGCTGGGCGACGGGGATCTCTTGGACCGCAGACTCGTCGTGCTCGTCGCCAGGGCGGCTGGCACCGCTGCGCTGCCACCTCTCGATGCCGTCGCGAAGCTCGGCGGAGACACCGCGAGCGGGAGAGCCAGACTCGTTGTAGGGCATGTTGCGATCCACGAGCGGTCGGTCTGGATCCTCGAACTTGTGCACTGAAGCGGAATCGGAAGGGTGGCCGTAGTACTCGAGCGACATGGGGTCGATGGGTCGACTTGGAGGTCTGCGAGACTGTGAGGCGGGTGCCGAGAGCTTGCGGCGCGATGTGTGCTGGTCGACGGATGGCGGATGAAGAGGCTTGGGCGCTGCAAACATGGTGGCGGAGCGGCCGGATCGATTGGAAAAGACGCTGCCGTCGCTCGGAGACTGGTGCTGGAGGAAGACGGAAGGTGCGCCCGAGGCTGGGCTGACACCGGGCGCAGCGGCGACCTCGACGGGATGGCCATAGTAGGAAGCATCGTGGGATTGTGCAAACGGGTCGATGGGCGCCCTGACCATGCTGGGATGATCGAATCGCTGTTTCTGATAGGCCATAGCGGAGGAAGTGGAGGGGCCGGCGGAAGAGGCAAAGTCTCGATCGAAGAAGTCGTTTTGTGTGGAGATCGTCTCTGAGCGGCGCCGGGAGGAGGAGGAGGAGTGCATGCGCGCGATGTTGGGATGCGAAGTCCTTGAGGGCGAGGCCATTATGTTGGAGGAAGACGATGCCGAGGTGGTAGGCTGCAAGGGCGTGTTTGTGATGGGTACGGGAAGAGGCGCAGCGAGGTTGGTGGGGTTGGCGAAGGAGCGGAAGACGGCCTTTGCCTTGTGTTTGGCGGTGGCAGAAGACGATGAGGCGGCGGCCTGGGCGGCGGCAGCCGGAGAGGATTGGTGTGCAGCATCCTTTTCCTTTGGGATGGGCGATTCGGAGTCCTCGGTGGACTTTTTGCGCTTGGCTGGTTTGGGGCGGGCGGCGGCATCGTCAGAGTCGTCGATGGACTTGCGTGCTGCGGACTTGTTGCCCTTTTTGGAGGCTATGGTTCTGGCGTTTGCGCTGGGCGGACCGCAGTGAGCGAAGCGGGCTGCACGCAGAGCTGGTGCGAGGTCGTCGACGCGGAAGAGACACTGCTTGCCCGAGGCGAGGCAGTTCTGGCAGACAGGAGCGTCTGGCGAGAGGAGGCATCGCACCTTCTTTGCGCGACAGGCCTCGCATGCGCTGACGGGACGCGTTCGCTTCTTTGGCTCCGAGGTGTTGGCTGAAGACGAGGCGGTGGAGTTCCTGGGTTGCGATCGAGATGACGAAGGAGCCTCGTGGGCCGGTGTGGATGGACCTGCGGAGGCGACGGATGCCAGGGTCTCGGCGGCCGCCATCATGTCGGAGGATGGCATGATGGAAGCAGCGTCTGTGGAAGGGAAGCGAGGTGGAGCGGTGTCGGGGCCTACAGCTTCATCGCTGTTGCGTGGCGAGGCGGACCGGCGGCTAAGGCGGCGGGCTGTGAAGGAAGATCCGGGTTGGTGGTGCGATGGACGTAGGAGCGGATGCGACGCCGAATCGATGGACGCTCGGCGTACCGACAGAGAGGGGAGGAGGGATGTGATGAAGGGGAAGGGGAAGGGACGATCAAGCTCATTGTTGGCGACGACGACAATTGATGGGCCCCCGCAAAGGCCGGCGAAGTGTCGCGCGTTGAGCATGGCAGCCCAGCTGAGTGCGGATGGACTCATCTCGGTTGCAGCTCGCTCTCTCTCTCTCTCTCTCTCTCTCT